CTTGAAGTAAGCATCGGTAAGGTGCTTTGGGATTTTTACTTTGCTAATATCAGTTTTTGTGGAGATGGCAAATGACAAATTTCTAGTGTGTTCTATACAGTGGAACTCAATTGAGAACCAGCAGTCCAGTCACAAGTAGCAAGCCACTGCTCAGCTGCTTCAGGAAAACCACTCTCTTGCCTCTGTGGCATCCAGTGCGGATGATCAGAATGGTCCCAGGAGTGGTGCTGGTTCGCAGCTTTCTCACATGCTGACTGAAGGGTTTTTGCCGTGGCTCAACAGCTTTCGAGGCACATCTTCAGTAGGATAATACCTAGGCATTTTGCACAGCTTAACCACCCGGGTACCACCATTCTTGTCTCCACCAACTGGTTTTGTGACAACTGCAAGAACCTTCTCCTTTTTCTTTTTGATCCTGGATTTAGTGGCAGAGTATTTCCTCTTGTACATGGCCTTCCTGAAATACATGGCAGACCGGGAGTATCTGCCATTGCCTGGGACTAGGACGGGGTTTCAGCTGCAATGGGGCTTCCCCTTGGGCTTTTTAGCCTTGAGATCACCCTTTTTAACCGTGCCACTGGCATCAGCCTTCATGGCTTCAGGTTTCTTCTTCTTAGTATCCTGCTTGGCAGCTTTTCCACCTGCCATCTTGTGTAGTGGGGAAAAGACCTGCTGGCCACATTTTGACAAATTTAAGTACTTCATGTAAGTGGACTCATACAGTGTTTGTCTTTTTGTGACTGGCTTATTTCACTAAACATCATGTCCTCAGTTTCATTCATGTTGTAGCAGATTTCTTTCCTTCCTTTTCTTTACTGAATACTATTTCAATGTACCACATATATGTACACCAGTTTTAATTTCTCCACTCATCCCAGAATTGACACTTGAGTTGTTTCCCCATGTTAGCTATCATGAATGATACTGCTATGAACACAGGTGTACAAATATTTCTTTTAGACCCTGCTTGCACTTCTGTTGTATACTACACTTTCTACTACTTGCTAGAGGTCATTACACATTTCTGATCTGGGATTCCAAGTCTTAAACAGAGTAATGTTGATTTCCCACAAGGTAATGAGTGAGTGCGCCAAGGGTATTGGCAGCCTAAAAATAACACTGTCAGTGGTCACTAAGTAATATTAGCTGTTTCATAGCGACCAAGAGCTAGAAGACATCAGCGCAGTTCACAGTGTCGGTTCACCTAGCTGGCCACTATGATCCCAGTACTTGCAATTAGAGCAGGGGCGGTGCTGTTTCGGGAAGAGAGGAATCGAGTTCAAAGGCTTCTGGAGATTGTAGTTCAGTCATCCGAACAGCGTGGGTGCGCAGGAGCAGATGCTACCGGTACCTTCGGCTCAGCTTTGGTGATGACGTTTCCAGACCATTTTCTGTGGCGCCTGCGGGCATAAATTCCTACCTCGGAGAGGTGCGAGTCCCTCTCAGGACAGAAAGGTGCACTCACGGGGAGTGCCTTCGGCTAGGCCCAAATGGGCGTAAGCATGGCCTTCCGACTGGAAACCTTTGAGCCGGATAAGTGTCCTTTATATTTGTCCCACTGTCTCTGCAGATGGGAATCAGCACCCAGCAGGCTGTGTCTTTATTTGGAGAGTGATCATGTGCGGGGCATCTGGGGTGACTTATACCCGGCTTCAGGGAGATGGCAGCCTTAAGAGAAGCTGCGCCTTCAGACCTTTGATCTGGGGCCTCAATGAGGTTGCGTCTGGCTCAAGGTCTTGACGGAGGAGGATTTTTTTTGCTGTCTGTATGGCCAGAGTCCTCCTTCCCAGCTCTAGTGGGGACTTGTGAGTATTCAGAAGTAATAAAGCGTGAGGTAGGAGACATTTGTATCCGCATCTACAGACAATCGCAGCTGGCCCGGGGACCATTCTGCCGCACTGGAGCCTAGAGTCAGAGAGGGGGCGGGATTTGTCCATCTCCAGCCCATTCCTGTCCACGTGCGCGTGCGTGCGTGTGTGCGTGAGTAGGGACTGTGTTGAATGAATGAATGGGAGCGTGGGAAAGTAGGGCCAAGGACAGCCTGTGAGGCAGCATGCTCTCCCTGCGAGGCCTGTCTTCTCAGAACCCTGACCTTTTTCAGAAGAGGAGCCCTAAGAAGGATCGCGCATTTCCTGCAGGTCCGAAAGCCATCGTCCAGGTGAGGTGATGCTTCTTCCACATCCTGATATGTAAGAGCCTTGGCTTTCCTTAGCCTGACCTTTACGGGCAGGAGCATCCTTTCCGAGGTCGGGCAATCATTTCCTTCCACACCAGCCGCCCAGCTCTGTGCCAGAGTTGCCCCATCTCATTGCCAACAAGTGTTCTCGGTTTTTTCCTGTAAATCACTTTTTCCTTGTGGAATATTGAGGGAGTAGAACTGCATAGGAAGGAAAATGAGAACTGCTTTACTAAATGAATCAGTTTTACTTACAGGGATGTGATGGGGTCAGGATGAGAGCTTGAACGGGTGCTCATATCTGCAAAGTCATGAATATCTTCACAGGTGGATTTCCTTCTAAGACAAGCTGAGAGGTGATGGTGGTACGTCCAGGCATTTGACATCGACCTCTTTGTGAGTGTTCATCATCCTCGGTCAGGGTTTGGCAGTTCAGAAACCAGTCACATTTATTTACAGTCTAGTTATGTCTGCTTACAGGTTGGACCATTCTAGAGCATAAATTGTTTGAGAATCTTACTCTTAGAGCTCATAGACAGACCCTAAATATCTTGTTAATAACATATGAGCAAAATGAGAAAGATTAAATCACTTAATTCCACATAATGAATCATAATGCTTCTAATAAAAGTGATGTTTTAAAAATAATTTTTATAGGTCCAGCAGGTGATGTGGTGTTTGGGGCATTGGACTCCCACACGGCCTACAGCAGTTCAAGTCCTGGATCTGGTGGCTTGCTTTCTCACTTTCTCTCCTGCCACCCCCACCCCCACTCCTGTGAGCACACGTGCCTTATAGCAAATTTAAAAATAATAATAAATAAAAATTTTAAAAATTTTCACAAAGAATCCATTTATATTACTGTGTAGTATAGAAATGAACCTGTTCTTCAAAAAAAAACCTCTTAAGTTATATGCAGAATCTGTTTATTAAGAAAAGGATTTTTGGGGGTCCAGCAGGTGGCATGGTGGTTAAGATGCTGGACTCCCATATGGCTCACCATGGTTCAAGATCTGAAACTGGCAGCTTGCTTTCTCACTTTTCCTCCCTCTCTCTCTCTTGCTGGTCAAATTAAATAATAATAATTTAAAAAATCTTTTTAAAAAAGAATTATTTAATTGAACTTTATTTATTCCATTTATTTATTTTAATTTGACCAGAAAGAGAGAGGGAAAGTGAGAAAGCAAGCCTCCAGGTCCAGGACTTGAACCTCAGTTGGCTATGTGAGAGTCTAGCACTCTTCACCACCACACCACCTGCTGGTCCCAATAATTCTGTTAAAAAAAAAGAAGGATTTTTTTGGGGGGGGCAGCAGGTGGCACAGTGGATAAGGGACTGGACTCACATGTGGTCAACCATGGTTCAGATTGTAGACCTGGTGGCTTGAAACTCACCCTAGGTGCATGTGCAGATGGGCCCAAAATCTTGAAAAGAAAATGGAGGAGAAGGGATTGCAGTGTGGCTAATCTCCCTGGAGGGATGATTTCTCACTGTCTGTGTCTCTCCAGCGAGTACATGTGCCCTAATAGCAAAATTCTCTCTAAGAAAAAAAAAAGAAGGAAAAAAAAGGATCTTTAAATGCATATTGTTTCAAAATTTAAATATTATTGGTTCAAATAGATATATGATGTTTATAATTAAAAAACAGCAAGGCCTTGATTAGCTTCCATCCAAAGGTGGTTACCTTCCACTCACTGCTTTCAGTTTTCACCCCTATGTTTCTAATGATTCTCATTTTACTATTTGTGGAATTACCAAGTGTAGTCCTTTTTCCCTCACTCCCTTGTGTGGTGGAATGGAAGCTTAGCTTTTTCCACATTCTTCCTCAACATGGTTACAACATGGTTTTAAAATAACTATACAGAAATTATATAATTATTTCATGGAAATATTACAGCTGAGCCAAATAATATACTAACTAGGTCTCATTTTTTTGAGTTTATTATCCTTTTAATTAATTTACTCAGTTCTCTACATTTGTATTAATGATCCATCAACATGTGCAAACATTATTACATGACTGTCAATAATATTTTTCCATATTGTTACAAATATCGATCATTTATTTCTTCAATACTTCTAGTTTGTTTTGTTGCTTCTGCCTGGATTGTTTTGCTCCTGCTTCTGTACTGATGGCACTGGTCTCATGCTTGTACTTTTCTTTTATGGTTACAATGAACCTTCTATCTTCTCTCCCCTCTCTCTCTCCAGTTATTTCCCCTTATCTGGTTCTTCAATAAACCTCTTTCTTTTCATATACTTTGCTGTCGTTTGTTTGTTTAATTTGCTATAGTGTTCATGAGTTCACTGGAGAAAGAGAAAGAGAAAGGGAAAGTAAGAAAGCACCTCCCAGGGGAGTGGCCATGCCATGATCTATTCTCCTTTTGGGATTTTGGGCATGCATGTACAGATGTCTAAAGTGTTTTTCAAGCCACTGGTTCCATGACTGAACCACATATGGGATCCAGTCTCCCCAACCACCATGCCACCTGGTAGGCCCTTATAGATTTTATGGAATAGTTCCAAGCAAAGATATATCTGTGATGAATTTTTAAAAAATAATTATTTATGGGACCAGCAGTTAGCTTAATGGCTATGTCGCTGAACTCCCCTATGGACAACTGAGGTTTAAGTCCTGGAACCGGTGGCTTAAACTCATGCCGGGTGCGTGTGCATGCGTGTCCAAGATCCTGAGAGAAGAATGGAGGAGAAGGGATTGTGGCATGGCCATCCCTCCTAGGGAGTGATTTCTCGCTTTCTGTCTCTCTGGCGAGTACACGTGCCCTATAGCAAAAAGAAAAAAAAAAAAACTCTCCAAAAATTTATTTTATTTTATTTATTCATTCATTTATTTCATTTGACCAGAGACAGACAGACACACAAAGAGAATGAAAGTCAGAGAGATTGTAGAGTTAAAAATGGGTAGCTTCACTGGAGTGGAGGCTTACACTCCATCTTCTCCACGTAGTGGACTCCCCTCTTTGATTTTGAATTCTAGGCCTTCAGTAACAAAATTGCATTTTTTCTTAGAATCAGGACTCTTGATTCCTAAGCCAGACATACTATTTTTATTGGAACAAGGGAAAGAAAGAACCTTGGATAGTTGGCAAAAAGTTGACAAGGACTTGCCTCCAGGTACATAAGAGTTAGATAGGGTGTAATCTAGTTGCTTGCTGAGGAAACATCTATGAGAAGTTTTCTGAGACATTTTTGTCAGTGGTCAAAACCTATAGAGAAAAATAAGACCTCTACACCAGTATTTCCAGATGCCCCTACTTCTACCTCCACTTTTCACTCTTCTCTCTGTCATGCTTTCCTCCCATTTCAATATGGGAGATATGAGGCACCTTCAAAAAGTTCGAGAAGATGCCAGTAGGTGGCACAGTGGTTGAGGCACTGGACTCCTACATGGCTGACTGTAGTTTGAGTCCCAGACCTGGCGGCTTGAAAATTAGACCAGGGATGTGTGCATGCATGCCTGAAACCCTGAGAAGAGACTGGAGGACAAGGTACTGTGGCATGGCCATACCCTGGTGGGGGTTGGAAGTTGATTCCTCACTTTCCCTCTCTCTGTCTCTCCAGTGACCACATGTACTCTGGGGCAAAAACCTTAAAAAATAAAAAATAAAAATAAAAGCTGACAGGAACTACATTGCAAAAACTGCATGGATTTTAGTTTTCTATTTTGCATCAAATTAACTTCTACTTTAATTCCATTCTTTCCATGAACTTCCTGAAATTCCCTTATAAAACCTTTATTGCACTTCAGTGACTAGTTTCCACCTTTATTTTGTATCTAACTTTCACACAGTTCATTATCTTCTTTTGCATTTAGATTTATATGTGTCATTTTTTTTTCTTTAAAATTTTAATACTTTTTTTGAGAGATTTTTGAGAGATGCTTGCTATAGGACACACACACTCTCTGGAGAGATGGAGACACAGAAAGCAAGAAATCAACCCGGGGGAGATTGATGGCGATGCCTCAATCCCTTCTCTTCTATTCTCCTCTAGGGATTTTTGGCACACATGTACATGTGCCAGGTGAGTGTTTTAAGCCACCAGGTCTAGGACTCGAACCGTAGTGGGCCATGTGGGAGTCCAGCGCCTTAACCACTGTGCCAGGAGGCATTTTTCCTGCACTATTTTTCATTTTTTATTTTTATTTGTCGATTCAGTATTTTACTCAGTTTTTGATTTTTTTAAAATGTTTTTGCCCTTGAGCATGTGTGCTTATCGAAGAAAGACAGTGAGAGGAAAAATGAAAAATCATGGCCACACTGTAATCCCATCACACCTTCTGATGGTGCCCCTTTCTCCTCCATTCTACACTTGGGATTTTGGACACACTCGCACCTGGAGTGCGAGGCCACGTGGGAATCCAGCACCTTAATCAGTGTGCCACCTACTGGCCCCTACCCAAATTTTTTTTACTCATTTATTCATTTGTTCTTTTAACCAACAGTTACTGGTTTTATAATTGGCATACAGTGCTTTAGTAGTTGATGGAGAGATTTTAAGTTTTTTAAGTATTAAAGTTACAAACTATTAAGAAATATGTATACGTATGTAAATTTGTAGACCAAAGAACCTAGGAACAAGCCTATAAATCAATTTTTTCCAGAGGTTTTTGCCATAGGGCCCATGCACTCACTGGAGAGAGAAACATACTGTGAGAAGGAAAGTAAGGAACCACCCTCTTGGGGGATGACCACACTATAATCCCTTCTCTTCCACTTTCTTCTTGGGATCTTGGGCACACACACACACTCATGCTTGTATGCACACACATGTCCAGGATTCAAACTGGTTGGCCATGTGAGTCCAGTGATGTAACCACTACGCCATCTGCTGGCCCACATAAATCAAATTTTAAAGACAGAATCAACTACAGAGTTCAGTAGAGCCCTCAAAAGAAAAGAGCTAAAGAGGGCCAGTAGGTGACATGGTGGTTAAGGTGCTGGACACTCCCACATGGCCAAGCATGGTTCAAGTCTTGGACCTGGTGGCTTGCTTTCTCGTGTTCCCTCTCTGTACAAATTAAAATAAATGAATGGATAAATAAAATTAAATAAATAATTCTTTTAAAAAATGGCTAAAGATGGAAAAGTGGAAAAGCCCCTAGAGATGCAATAGTTGGAGCATTGGGAATCATTGCAGTTTCCTCTGTAGTGAATGCTGAGCAATCAGAAAGCAGAGGTTGCAGGCAAGGAGAAATTGGAGTGAAAGAGAGTAGGGAGTGGTCAAATTTGAGGAGTGGTCAAATTTGAGCTAAATAATAGTGACCTTTAAAGAAGAGTAGAGCACAGGCTCTCTCTATGCTGCACACCCATGCACAGGTTAAAGGTAAATATTTCAGCCAGAGAAGGCCAGGTGGGGCTTATTTAGACCAAAGGCCACATGCTGCTCCCCAGCTGCAGTTGATAATAGCAGACACCTAACTTTACCTTCCACTCCCCCCTACCCCCACCACCCTATAAAAAAAATAAACCTGGGAAAGGCTCAGTCAGTGCCGGGGCATTCTCCATCAGAGACATCCGGTCCTTCTGATCTTCATTTTCTCTATTTGTGTGTCTCTGTGTCTCTGTGATTGTTCTTTCCAAAATCCACCATCGCTCCTATTCTGGGAGGGTCTCTCCCCTTTTGGCCTAGCAGGTCTTGACAAAGGAGGAGAATTAGACTGTTGCATTTCT